TAACTAAACGATTTGTGTTATATCACATGATATTAAATTGTCGGATTTTATTGGGCGGTTTTTCCGTTACACTGCATCTAAGAAATTGAGTATAGAGTTGGTACACCATAGTTGTATTTAACCCTACGTGTAAATTCAGGAATCTCTTGATGAATATTTTGAGACAACAGCACCAGAAAAATACCGATTTCTCGATTACTACAAGGATCGTAAAAACCAAGATGACTTTACAAACAATTTTCGCCTAGAGGCACGAAGACTCTACAAATGCTTGAATTACCTGGTGGAAAATGGGTCACAGAAGATGAACATGACAAGAATAAATATGATAAAAAGTCAATCAGGAATATTATTAATGCCCAAAAAACTACCAATACTCACTCTTCAAAATGTTCATATTCTTTGCTTTCAGAGTCCGAGTCAACTTCTATAACTTCTGTAAATGAGTTGGTAACTCCCTTATTATCTTAAAAGTCTACAGGTTCGTGGGTTAAGCCATTGTTTCTATTCCATACCTGTAGAGTTTTTAGCAAGCGCAGTAAATTAATAATTGAAGAAATATCTACCAGTTCCATAAATCCTTCAAAGTGCATTGTAATAGATTATTGCCAGGTTTTACTTTTTTTGTCGACATTTTCCCAAAAATTGGCAACAGCCTGAGATTGGAGCTCTTTCTACAGAATTGAAGGATCACAGAAATAACTTTGGTTATATATGCACAATATCATACAAGATTGTAAATCTGAAAACAAAAAAGGATCAAGCAGAAGATTCTCGATTGACTATTATGACAAAACAGCGGATGTCCAACAGACAACGGAATCCTATGAAAATAGGGGCGAAAAACAGCGGATTCTACCACAATGTGAAAACAGCGGATCACCGTGGTTCCCTATTTTCGCTGGTATGTTCTCTGAAAACAGCGGATCTTTCCCTGCAATCAAAACAGCGGATGACGCAGAGGGAACTACCAACTTTTCTACTAAATCCTATAAAAAATAAATACAGCACCCTGTAATTGTCGGCACTTTTTTTTGCTAACTTTCGAATTCGTATGGAAGGATGGCTCGTCGAGAGTTTGTTAATGGAGTCACACAAAGCTCTATGTTTTTTGCTCTTCACTGATGGTAAGGGTGTTGCGTTTTTTTAGGTATTCGAGAAGGCGGTTGGATACGTCAGGTTTTTCTAAAACTTTTATGACAAACTCCTCTTGAAACCGACGGCCGTGTCTTGCGTTTAAAACCTGCCATTTTTTTTGATAATGATCAATCAGGAAAATTTTTTCATAATCTATTAATATTAATATATATTGGTTTCCATAGTGTTACAAATATATATTAAATTTCCATACAAAAGTCACTGGACTACTGGGTGCTTATTATATGATTGGTACATTGTCAAACAAGCTATTAATCGTGCGATTGTTCGCTGTAAACATATATTTAAAGATAGAACAAGTTTATATTAATATATCATTCAATTATAATTGTCCGCTGTATTAAGAATGTGTTATATATTGGGGGAGATGCAATACTAACCTCGATATAGTAAAGTCTCGATACAGTGAATTTCGTGCTATAGTAAAGAATCCTCTGATACAAAAATAGTATTATTTAAATTTTCCCTCGATGTAGTAAGTCTCGTTATTAGATATACAGTCAAACCCTTCCGTTTAGCCGAAGGACTAAGTAAAACCCGCTAAACCGAAGGTAAGTACCCTCGGAAAAGTATTTGGTCAAGCATTTTTTAAAATTTTCAAGATTGAACATATTAAATGAATCTCCTGGTTTTGACGATTTTGTATTTGTGCTACGATGTATAGATAAATTTTGATAAACAAAAGCGTATACATACTGTAATTCAACACGAAACGTAAACAATTTGATTGCATTCGACTGGGAAAAGATCGTGAATTAAACGAGTTTGAACGTGGACAAATTATTGGTTTACAAATGGCTGGAAAGTCCCATGAAGCTATAGCTCGTATTCTAAAAGTTTCAAAAAGCACTGTTACGTATACAATTGCCCGACATGCTAATTCCAGTCATGGATCTAGTGCTAAAAGAACTTGAAAAAGTACAACAAGAAGAATGGAGAAAAATTCCACCTGAAACTTATACTAACTTATTGAAAACATGCCACATAGAATTGAAGCATGCATTAGGAATCAAGGATGGCCTACAGAATATTAAATGTCATGTTTGTGTTAAAAAATTAAATAAATAAAATATTTCTTTTGTTGACCAAACTCTAAGATGCCGGTTTTCAAAGATGATGGCGTGGTAAAATTGAGATGGAGCCGCATCAAACGAACCCCACACTTTATGCTGGTACAGTAAGACTGAGATAGGGTCGGCAACATATGATTAGTCGAAGATTTGGCCATTATAAAAGATGCATAAAACCTGCCGACGTTTCATCAATCCAGTTCCGAGAAAGATGTGGCCGAAAGAACAGATAATTGCATTACTATTACATAATGGTTAGGCTATAACGAGGTTATCCCCACTTCCACTAAGAATTTTACCTAACGATTAATGTTGTCAATGCTATTGATCAAGAAACGATGAGAAAAATAAAATATATTACTATCCGTCACGAGTTGCTTCTCGAATTGAACTATGGAAAGAAGAAAAGAAAGTCCTTCCAATTATGATTTCCTCATTCTGAATTTGCTCAATCCCTAAATATAAAAAAACAAGGTAACGATAATGAATCCCTATAAACACCGAATAATCCGAGAGAAAGTATCCCCTCTACTATTATGGCTAGTACCAGTCATCTTCCTTACTGTATGCTGGATGTTAACAAAAAGACACAAATCCTGTCTGCTTTGCTCATATTGTTCTTTAACTTGGAAAGCTAAACACCAAGTAAGCTGGTACCATTCGCAGGAGGAAGAACTTTCACGAAGCCGCCGAATGCCTGGGACTCACCTTTTCCATTTTGTGCTGAAGGACGAAGTATGCAACAGGCCAAGTTTATCACGCGCCGGGAAAAACACGTCAATTACAATAGATTATCCACAAATACAGCCCGAAAAGGATAAACTGATCTGACGCTTTGCCATATTTGTATATTTGGTTCAACTCACGTGGTATACACGTGGTACACATTTTCAAAAAGATGACAGATGGGTGCGCGTAACGCAATAATAACTCTCAAAAAATGCCTGCTAGACGCACGACATCTCAAGTAAGCAAAGGAACACCCATTTTTCTATCTACATTGATATCGGCTCTGTAGTCATGGACCTAAAAGATTGTTTTTAATATTTGTCTCTAGACGAACACGAAAGTTTCTAATCGGAAGAAAAAGAAAGTTGTTATAAAGAAAGGCAAGGGTAAGCAGGTAAGGTCACCTGCACCCCTCCCTCCAAGACGTTCGTTATGAAAGCATTATATGAGATAGTTTGTTTGGGGAAAACACGTGAAATTATCACGTAATGCCGATAACCGGATATCCCTGGGATTAATCAAGACTGCAAATCGAACATTACGACGGGGGGGATCGCATCTTACTGTTCGAATCATTTTTATTCTATGTATATCACCAATCATCTTTGCACAATTAATTTCTAGGCGAAGGTGATTCCAACCGAGCCTAAAGCTGCATCTATACTCGCAAAGAAATATCCCGATAAATATTGGCAATGCCATGCACAGAGTGGACATGAGATGATAAACTACATAAATGAAGACCATCCTCTTGAGCTCGTGGGCGTAGACGTTCATGATCACGGTGATTATATAGATACATGATAACTATTTTATATTTGATCTCTGTCAGTGTCATCTTAAGGACGCCTCTATGCGATGCTTGCCTACTTAGGTCCTATTACTGGTATGATTTTGTCGCCTGACGGTACGATGCTCGCTACTTTCTGTAATGTTGGGACTACCAAAATATGGGATACCAGTGATTTCAAGTTAATCCAGAAGCTAAGGGATGAAGAAGTAAGTCGGTTCCACGTACAAATATACAAGATCATGTTTCAATTGAAGATAAGTGAGGCTAGTCATTCGTGCTTTTCGTTGATCGCCGTTTTTCATTAACCTTCAAGTAGGAGACAAACATAGATGAGTTTTTCGTTGGCAGATTTACTCCCGATCATACCAAGATTGTTGTTGCTGGGAAGCTGAAGGATAGGACGCGTTGGTCATATGAAGACGACGATAACCACATACTCCCGTGTCCATTAAAGGTGAATATAAAACCAAGCTCAATAATAAACCGATCGGAACCCAAGTCACAGTTCATTCTTGCTCTTTCCTGTTAGATATTCGACTGTATAAGTGGAAGGGTCATCGCTAAATTAGAAGGTCATGCAGAGGAAGTACTCTTTATCAAGAGCGTAGTATTCAAAGGAGAATCATATTATATATCGACTAGTCAAGATGGATATATTTACAGATGGAAGATGCAGGATGACTGGACGTGGGTTTTCATGAACCTAAGTCGTACTATCACTGGCAATTTTATTTGATTCCCTGATAGAAGCTTTATTATTGATAGAACATTAATCGAGTCTAAACCGATGGAAGATGGTATCACGTGTATGGCATTCACAGTATCCTTTGTGCCGAATACTGGCAACAAGTATTTCTTGGCGGCTACTGATGAACACATTAGATTATATGATTTTGAAGAGGCACAAGTATGTCTTTGTTTCAAGCACGTTAGAAAACATCCTGCAGCAAAGCAACTATTCTAATATGAGCTAATGATTGTAAATTGGAAAGTTGCTACAAACTTTCTCAGATATGTACTCCCAATATTGTGATTGCGGTAAATTTATTCACCCTGTCGTACCATTAGAGGAGAAGCCTGAAGAATTTGTGGATACTGAAGGTGCTAATGGACATACATCTAAACGAACTCGTCAAAGGAAATTTGCATATTTTATATCACGTGGGGTGGAGATTCTTGATTCGGATGACGGTACCGTTGGTAAGGAATAAACTTATCTTTGATGTATAACAACGCCTTAATTAGATGTTCATGAGAAATGTTTGTTAACATTCTTTGGCTTTCCGTTTATTAGCTTTAAGACCCAATTCGTGCATTTTGCACAAGTTGATATATCCGTTGAAAAAGGGAGATCCATTCACGCTCAAAGAAGTTAGACGGTATCAACATAAAGAGTAAGCATTAATATCTTTCCAGTCTTCCAACATGCTTGTAGCTGAGAAACAGTTCCAACTGTCTTTTTACCGGTACTCTAATCTCTGACTCCAGATACCAGTCAAACTCGTGGTTGATCAAGATCACATCAAACGGTCGTTATATTTTGGCTCCAACCAACACCGGGAAGGTGCTCGTATTCGATTTACAAACTGGAGCTCTTACAGGAATTCTGCACGATCACGAGGGTGACTATTTCTTAGACGCTCATTGATAAGCATGATTCTAACATGCTGATTTGTACTAAGAAATCAATCCACAATTCATCGATTCAGAACTAGAAGTGCGCGATGTGATCTGTCATCCATGGAAGCCCCTGCTGTTGACGTGTGCCGATGGTAAGAAGTTATCATCACTCGTATGCTATTGGTCAATAGCTAACAACGTTTATTTTGGCTATAGATGGGTGCGTCAAGGTATATACTTACGAAAATATAGAAGAAAAACTCGAAGATGTAATATTGACGGATGTCGTAAAAGATATTCCCGATGATGAGGTAGGCAAGCTTGCATGAGCAAGTCGAATGGAGTAACAATTTGTAACATCCCTGTGTCTATCATTGAAGTCATCACGTGTTCAAGGCTCAACAGATTGACTAGTGAATGAAATCTTGGGAGCTTTAAAGTTGTATATTGAAACATTTAGAAGACTATAATGAAGAACTGTTCGGGAGGTGGGGGAAGGAAGCGTTAACGTCGTTGATAGTGTATCTTTGAATCAACGAGACATTACAATAAAGAATTGATCCTAGATACATGAAATCTACATCGTTTTCTCTATTTTCAGTATATGCGACTTTAATTGCTTAACGAATGCTTTAAAGACCTTAAAGGGTAATAAAGAGTTCTTGTGTGGTGTTTCAAAAAAGTTGTATGACATTGGTCAAAGACAAATGACCATTGTCTATCAATGAAGATCATTTTCTTCTATGGAAGTAATGTCAACAAAACTGCCGCCAATATGATTGAAACTACTACGCATTGGCGTCTGTAATAAAACTTCTTTTTTCGTCCAGAAAATGGCTTAGACTAGATAGATTTAGGAAAAGGCGAAGATAGATGTCATACCTGAACGTTTATTATGCCTAGTACTTTTTAGCTAGACAATGATTTCTCGAACGTGAAGATAAGCGACTAATTGATGAATGACTTCTCTAACTGGTTTGTGATGACAATGACTAACATTATGAAACCAGAAAATTTATCTCCTGAAGAAGCCATTGTTCTTCCGGATTGTAAATGTAATCAAGTAACAACACACTGGTCCTGTGCTTATAGCATTGGCATTATTATGAATTCTTTTTAGAAAGTGTAATTAGGTTCGCACAATCAATGTTATTACATTTGTTATCATAAGTTTGCGTTGATGCTCTTTATTGATTATATTTTGATGAATTTCATAAATGATCTCTTGTCTACACACTCTTTAGCAGAATTTGTGAGATTAGTAGTCTTGAAAAAAAAATTTGTCAAAAAGCTTAATATTAAACCAAACAAAAATTTAAAAAAATTCGATGATTCGGACACACATATAAAGTCGCGATCAACCTGTAAGTCTCCTACAATGACTCTCGATAAGTCGGACCACGTGATTTTCGAGAGACAATCTTTACAATCTTTACAGAATGTTTTGGGTGGCATTCAAAATAAAAGTGGATCAGTAAGCTTGACTGTTTGCATATGGTCATGTGGTTAAGATTATATTATTAGAACATGCCAAATTTTATTAATCAACTTTTGCTTTGAAATACCATTGATGTTAATTCTTCTCTCCAAAGTAAGTGTCAATTTGTTATTGATGCTTTGATTGTTAACAGTAGATACTCTATAGAAAGTATGAATTTCTCATTATAATTAACTAGTTCGCTATACTTTGCTTTTAGATGTTGTTTAACATATTCACAAATCTCACGTTTATTATCGAGGGTCTTGTTTTATTATTATGCTGAATATTAATATGGAAACATAAACACTAAACCTGAATGTTACACAATACCGGTGACTATTGTTTCATTTGACAGTGACTCACATATGATTGTGACTCTAAGGGAAAAATCACTATGAAAATGGCACCGAAACAGCATGTCTGTATAGGAGGTGTGACTGTATAGGATGTGGCTGTAGGGGGTATTTAAATAAAAGGAGGGGGGGTTTTTTATTAAAATCTCGGACAAAATCTCCGCCCGACGAGTCCGACTTATCGAGAGTGCCTATGTATTATTATTATAATAAACTGAATAATTATGGTGCTTCTTCTTAAACTGAATAGAAATTAAGCAGTTATAAAGGTAATAAAAACAATAATAACAGCATTACTCAATAATGTCAATCAAAACAACTAATCAGTTCAGATAAAGATTTATCCCACAACATATTTAGGAATTCTTATCACACTTATTATTCGGAGGTTAATTTGAATAATTAAAAATCATAATAATAAGGATTATTACTATAACTGTTACTATAATACATAATACAACTATAGTGTTTACCACTGAGGCATTATGTTCACTTTGACTGGTTTTGTTCCAGCATGTCCTAATTACAGTATAAGTAATGATTGTATTATCTTCGTTCTGCAAAGTCTATTTTCGATCCTGTGGCAGATTAGCTTTTTGCTTCTTCATCCTAATCCTCTAAATACAAATATTTAAAAGAACAAATAAATTGAGAAAGACTTGTCTTTCATATATTTATCCTTTGTGACTGTGAGGCTAATCGAACCCATTATTATGGCAAGTTTGGAATTCGGATTACAATTGGTCGTTTTTGATGATAATAAAGTGTAGCACTGTTTTCATACAATACGCGTAAACGGTATGTGGTTTGTTTATAATTCTTGCAGAATGATAACAATGAAGCTGTTATCTTAGTTTCCTCATGCATGATGTTGCATGAAAAACTGTGGTATTAACAAGAATATAAACACTCACTTTATAAGCCGCATCACAGCTCTGTATAATAATAAGCACCAACATACTTATAACGGATATAAACCAATATAAATCACAAACGTGTTGACGGTCTAGGCGCAGTAAAATAGTACAAGTTGAGGTCTTCTGACCGCGGACAACGGTGTTCTCGAGGAAGAAAGTTGTATATAAATATGCCGAGACATGTCGGACAGGCCCGTCACGAGAACGCTGATCGTCCTCATTGGTACGGACAATGTTATTATTATATTATTATGCACTGTTACGATATAGCTGCGGGACCCGGAAATTTTACTGCGGAGCTTAAGCTATTCACTTTTTTCCGCATTAATCCATCGCTCACTCAACGGACCGAAAACTAGAAAGTAGTAAGACTTCTTGACTAACGTCTACATTGAAAAATAAAATAAAAGCCAAACCCAAATAGACCAAGAATGGCTTAATTGTTTTCCACAGAAGATATTGAAATATGCATCGACTTGTTATTCGCAATAAAAATAACATCGTTTTCTTTATCTGTCCTCCGATGTACGACGTTCGGTAATCGGATACATAATACCCCGGAAAATATAAGTTCTTAGACTTTCCACGGCGCTTACGAGTCATCAACATGATTGGTTGCCCGAATACATTGATAAATAACCCCCAACACGCTTTCAACACTTTGTTTCCCTTTTTCCTTTACTCAAATTCCTCTACCGTAGTTAGTTATTCTTGTTCTACATTCAGAAATTGTTACCCAACAAAAAAGTATATATACAACCCCCACGCTAACTCATCTTCACGATACAGCTCAAAACAATTTGCGTAGCAGTAATACACTTTCGATGATGACTTCACCCGAACAGAATGGAGAAATTGATTTCTTTAACAACGATGATGCTTTTAATACTTACATCAACGTGGACTTTTTGAAAAATGACATTATGGATGAGGACATGGAGACTGGTACTATGTCATCATCAGATCTCTTTCGTTATTATCTCGAAGGAGAAATGGTCAACAAGGATTCCGAAAATAATGAAGAGAATGAATCTCCATTATCATCTACGATTGCAGATGGCCAAAATGACTTTACACTTGCTGTCAGTCCAACTTTATCAGCTGCAGATTATACCAAGTACAATCTACCTATAACTCCTATTACACCCATCACTCCCGCTACTGATATTAGTGACCTTCAACAACAATCTCTGACTAATGCCACAGTCCCTTCGCTGGCTGTATTGAATGCGCAGTTAGCCGAATTATTAGCCAAGCTTCCATTAATCAAACAAGAAACAGCCGATAATAAAGTAAACGTTAGTTTACCCGCTCTTAGCACACACAAGGCTGAGCCTTCAAAGTCATCAATGGCTGCCACCAAAAGTTTTTCTATGGATAGTATCAGTAACGATGACATGGCAGGAGACCTGAAGAAAATGTCTTCGAAGGAAAGACGTCAACTGCGTAACAAAATTTCCGCCAGAAACTTCCGAGTGCGAAGAAAAGGTAACATTGTCGTTAGCTGATGGTTTGCCATTTGATTTTGGTTGTAATTTACGTTACTCACTCGCTTTTATTTGTTATTCGTCATTAGAATATATTCAAAACTTGGAGTCAACTAACCAAGAACAGCAGAAAGAGATAAATATGCTCAAACAAGCGCTTGTAGTTCTGCAAGAAGAAAACTCGAAATTAACGCAGGAAGTAGAACAACTACGCAAGGTCTCATGCCAGCCCTCTGTTGTTAAATCGCCACCATCACCGCCGCCGACGTCAGCATCGACTGTGCAATCGAAAGACAACTCTATACATACTCGTGGAAAGCCACAACCCCATCAATCGCCTTCACCGAACTATCTCATTCCAAACGTCAACAAAGACGCACCAGCAACGGCATCCAAGAGTCAACCGAAATGGCAGGGTGCAGGAGTGCGTGTTCAGACTGCATTTATTCCTGAACTGCATTTCGACAAGCATATGTTTGAACCTAAAGCTACATACACGGACAATTTCTGGTATAGAACATCCATTGGAGGATATAATAGAGACATTATCAATACGTTGGATACAGAGATGCTCCAACAAGCCATGTTAGTGTTTACAGTATATTGTACGTTGGCACAAAGAATGACAACGATGTTTACCGAGGCAGTATGTGCCATACCGCCTAACGATATGGCGGTGCTGTTATACCCGGAGTTGGCTATCGAAAAAAAGATTTTCAAGTCGGAGGTGGCCATTGAAGACAAAGAAAGCATCGATGCAAAGCCAGATATGAAGACAGCTGTATCATCCGAGGTTATTGACGAACTTTCACATGCCGTTGTTGATAGTAGTACGGAAGCGTCAGTACTGGATTGGCTTTACGAGAACATGGTTAGAAGTGTCATTGAGCAGAGTCAGCTCGAAGCAAGGGTTATGGAACTAAATAGTGATTGGGTTAGCGATGAATGGGATGATACGGTATTGCCTCACTTGTTCTAAGGATCATGAAGGCTTTGGTTGCCTTACGAGAGGAATTCTCTATGTGTATATATGTACATTTGGATTGTAGGGGCTTTAGTCAGCGCTTATTGTCTCTTTCCTTTTATTTTTTCTTTTCATTTACTTCTTGCTTTTTTTTTTCTATTTTCTTTTACTGTTTGTTTTAAATTAAGCAACTTGCTATGTTTATTGGACAATTTTAATTCACATTTCAGCTATAGACACCTTTTTCTTTTGTGGTTAGTTGACATTGAACTCAATCTTAAAGATTAAAAAAATATAAATAAATAAAATAAAATATAATATGAGAAACGGCTAGTTGTACGCTTAAATCGAGCGTTGGAAACAATGATATTCATGTTAACGTTTAATAAAGTTGCATCGCCTATGTATTAGGGGTTCGACGGTACTCATATGGTAATTTCCTTTTTGTTGTCAGACCATCTAATCGTTTGCCGTCTTTGTAAGATTGCCTCAACTATGCATAACGCTTTCTCCAGGCCCATACAATAGATAAATATAAAGACAAACTTATTTTTCATTGATGACAAGCACTTCTTTAGTTTTACGCAATGCACTAAGAAATACACTATTACCGCTAATAATACACGATTAAAACACGAACAACCAATTTTCTAATTATAATTCAAGACTATGGTCTGTCTTTTGTCTGCTAATTTCAGACGATGACCCAATTATCGCCTTCTGTAATCAATTTAACCTTTCCAGAGTAAAAAAACTTGACAAATTCCTTCAATCGCTGATAACAAATCCATCTGGTATATTGCCCATCTTTGTTCAATTCCCAAACCCACGGCAATTCTCTGACCCATACATCATCAGTCAACTCGCTCATATACCGCTCGCGGAATTCAACTAGCTCTCCAACAGTCTTTATAAATCTAGATGATGTCATTCTATCGTATAGCGAAGGCTTGAAACATGCAAAGCACATTCGCCCACAATTATTCCGATCACGTGTAGGCACGGACGATGCATGCAAACTGACATATCCGCAACTAATACAAACATACGGATTATTCTTTTTTGACCGGACCAAACGAACAAATTGTGGAATCAATTGACCGGTACAGATTACCGATCGATCATCACTATCATATTTAAATTTAGGGCTTATGTCGTATCGCAATCGTAATACACGAGAAATATACTGACATATGACAGTCAACATCGCCTTATTAAAGCCACGTGAGACAAGGCGAAGTCTAAGGAATGCAACACATGACTGCTCATATGACATCGAAATTGAATACGAGAGAAATTCTTCGAGGATAGCTGCCAATACAAACTCGGGAAGTCTATTTATTGAACCTCGGGTTTTTGGCTTTTGTCGTCTTGGTGTTCGTGATCCTGTCCTAGTCAGAGGAAAGCGTCGTTGGGTAATATGTGTTTGTGGCTGTTGGTAGAGTCCTGGATACGGAAGTTGACGTATGTGATTTGCAATTAGGTACTCTTCTCCATTGTACGTGCTATAGTGAGCGTAAGGAATTCCGTACATATACGCGTGTTGATATTGGAAAGGCGTCATAAAACACGCGTCCGCATAGTATTGCTCACTGTTCAAGTTCCCGACCACTCGCGTACTTGGACGAGAATTGTTTGACCGGCTGCAGTCTTGAGAGTTGTGACCGCCATTGAAGGCTTGAGTTGTTCTTCCATTAATGTTACCTCGTCTCTTGTTAGACATTCTGATGTATATGTAGATGGATATATGTATAGGCGTAATAGTAATAGTAACCTTGTTTTTATGTAAATTTATAGTAATTTGTTCTTGAATATTATTGGCTGTTATCGTCATAAAGCGTATAGGGGTTAAGTTGATAAGCAACCAATTAAATACATTAGGTTATTTACAATCCCTATGATAAGAGCTATCATTCAATTGTCGCTTTATGTTGATTACTTTAATCAGTTTGACTTCAGATCTTCTTTTGCTGAACCAGTAATGTTTAAAAAACACGTATGAACTAAAAGCATTATGCGTAGAGATTAAATAGGTGTTATTCCATACATTAAAGCTGAACTGAGACTGGCCAGTTAATGACCAAAGCAGGAACACAAAGCGGAAGGGGCGTACTGCAGTTTTTACAATGTAATTGTGACTTAAAATTGAGCTTATTAGAAGAACTCTACTCCTTTGATTTTAAAAATAACTAACAATCGCCTATGTGCTTTTAGACATACCATCTACATTTTACATATTCTTCGTTTTATTATAGCCAGTCTTGTACACCAAACTGTTGCTTTTGTCTTTTTTTTTTTTTTTTTAATCACTATCAAAATTTAATAACTAAAATTATATTGCTCCTTCTTTCCTTGTTTGGGTCAAGTTAACGTATTTATCGTTATATGCGGAAACGGAGACTAAATTTGCCCATTGTTTATGCATATCGGCGCGGCTTATTACAGCCTGCAGTTAAATTTAGTATCATGCACAACGAAACTATTCGCGGTTTAGTTTATTACACGTATAAATAAAGGTATGTTGAATAGAGAGAGTTATATTATAATAATATTATATGGTCTCTTGTGATTACTTAAATGTTGCGATAATTACAAATTACGACTGTTTGACTTAAATATGGTGAATTATTTCTTAATCAATTGACAGCCAATCACATTGGGTACGTATTATTTCATCGACAATCACAGTACATTTCACCGACAATTAACTACCAAAAAAGGATAACTTCGAAATAATGTTGGTAAAGATTTGTCGGTGAAATGAATGCCTCCCAATCACATTACAGGTTACGCGTTCTCTTATTAGGGAGAGTGATATATAATAAGCGAGAAATTGACCCGGTGTTAAAGATTCCGACAGAAATTGATAACGGCATCTTCCAAAGTATTACGTCCATTACCAAATCAAGATAAAATACTAATATCATATTCAAAAGTTTATATTGAGGAAATCTGAAGCGATCCCGCTTAAATTTTCTAACAAAGGGAGACCTAAATAACAAATAAACACGTTGTCAAGAAAATTCATAGGCTACTATAATCAATATAATATATACTATTATATGCTATCAATACAGTCGTTGCTAAAACTCATATTTATTATAATGTTCATGGCCAATACTTTTGACTTACAACACGAAATCAATTGGAAACGCAGGGCCCTTTTGGAACGAATATACCCTAAAGGAGTCGAAGAAGTGGTGGTTACCCGAAAAGACCGCTTGTGTCGCTTTGGATCCGAACTTGTGGAGTGGATCTTTGAAAAAAATGGGACACGGCTCGTGGTTCTCGGTTAAGAAGTTTGTACCAATGGAGAGCTCGCAGAAGACCTACTCGCAATCGTCACAGTGTTTGTGGCGCGACATAACGGACTACGTTCGGCCGCAAATCGCAGAAGGAGAAGAGTAGCCGCCCAAGAGGTTCAAGAAGGAAGTGAAGAAACCTTCAGCAGGCAAGGTCCGACGTATCCGCATTTATCCCAACCAGCAGGAGCGGCTGAAACTCAGTAGATGGATGGGAACAGCACGATGGACATACAATCGGTGCCTTACCGCGGTTGAAAAAGAAAGCATCAAACGAGCAAAGAAGGATCTACGCGCACTATGTCTCAATGCCACAAACTTTAATGATACTAAACTCGCATGGGTCCTTGAAACACCCTATGACATTCGCGATGAAGCGATGAACGACTTGCTTAAAGGATATTCCTCCAACTTTGCTGCCAATCATAAAAAATTCAAGATGAAGCTCCGTTCCAAAAAGGAACCTCAACAATCCATTGCGATACTTTCTAAACACTGGGGCAAGTCTCGGGGAATATTTCTTTCTTTCTAAAATCAAGTCAACAGAGCCCCTCCCGTATAAGCTTGAATATGATAGCCACCTTGTCATGAATCGACTTGGGGAATACTATCTTTGTATACCCGGACACTTGAAATACGGGCTGAAAACCAAGGCCCTATATCTCAAAAGGTATTGATCTAATTTTTTTATTATATTATATTATCTATTAAATTAAAACCTTAATTAATTATATATTTAATAATTAATAGGAGGAATCAAGAGTGATTTCTCTGGATCCAGGTGTATGTACATTCATGACAGGTTATGATCCAAGTGGAGTAGCTGTTGAATGGGGTAAAAATGACATTGGCCTATTAATGTGGCGTTTTATTAGTAATGATAGGTTTTAATGTAGGCGTTTGTACCAATATATAGATGAAACAATATTTGATCATAAAATTGCGTCCTTGTTTACCGAGTTGCCTTTAAACTGCCAAATCAAGAAAATTATTATTATTGCATACACCTAGGAAATTAACCAGTTCAAGCAGTAATAGTAAATGACTTGCCCATGTGTCATTAAATGAGGCTACTGCAAAGTAGTAAGTGTAACCGAGTACGACTTTGTTACATAGTCTAGTTAACATTGGAGCTACTGAGTTACACAGACACAGTAATCGCATGCATAGTCTTTATTAATTTCCAATGATACACAGTAATGTGAATTTAGAGCCAAGCTGCATCATCCCCTAAATGCTTCAAAGAGCATTAGTATTCGAATAGCAAAAACATGGAAACCTACTTAATCAGGAGGATTAGAAGCATCTCTCATTATATATCCCTTGGTATAAATATACGCCGATATGTGATTTGTTTACTTCTAATGGTTATTGTTACGAGCTGTTTTATATTATTATTATTAATACCCGCAAAGGCGAATCATTTTGCCCGTTAGCAGGAGTACAGCCTACATCAGGGGCTATGAATATGCCGAGGAGTGGGAGATTTCCGCAAACGCTAGCAAGTTGGGAGAGTTTGCAATCCTGAATCACACTAATCCATTACTATTATTGGAAATACCGAGAATGTTAATATCAATGTTTAATATTCACACGAGCTGATTGTAATATTTGCGTTATTGGTCATCAGTCGACAAATACGTCATCATTAGATACAAAATACAGCATGCAAATTCGAGAGTACCAAAAATATCAATTTACCCCATCGTGCAACTCGCTAATTAAGTTATTACCAATTACATTAAAGTTCTCGTGTAATCAAATGGTTCATAAAGACTGTTAGTCTGAACAGATATTGTTCTTGCGCTTTTCTTCTTATAAAATTGGAAACCTCCCCATACGTTTGGCCGCTCGTTTTTGTTATAGGCAGACATTCTTTTTTATTGGGATTATCCACATACCCCTCCTCCCCCATTTATCCATACTACAGTACATCTTTTTACCCTCTCTTTCACTCCACTAAATACCTCTACCAAATCCCACCAAACAAAAACATGAAGGCCGTCGCTGTCGTTGCATGCAGTGTCTTGATTTTGGCTGCCGCTCAAAGTGCTGAAGGTTGGTGAACGAGTAGCGGATATATTCCTCATCATTAACTTGCTATAGATACGTACGCGTAGAGGATGGCCGTCTCCGACATTAAAGCATTATAGTAACCTGCTTATTTTTCTCAATTGTCAGCCGCATTGCCAACGTTCACCTACAGTTTGACTCAAAAGTCCCTCGGTGACAGGACTCAGATCTGTCAACTTAACATGGGCTTCTGTTCGACGAATTGTGGAGGACCCGATAAGGTATATTGATAAAACTCACTCTTGAACGAGCCGTTTTCAATTGCTCGAATATGGCTTTATTTAACGATATAATTCCTTTTGACATATACAGGCTCCAAAGGTAAAGATCGTTAACCATTCTCCCCCCAAGATCAGGCTCTTTAGCCAGAATGGAAAATAACAATAATTGAATTCTTTTTTATAGAACTTCTGTAATGTCACCACTATGGGTTGGGGATGCGGTTGCAGTACCAAAGTCCCTGATTTTCAAGGTAAATTCTATCACAGTTATTTTTGGTATTTCTCTTCTACTTGCCTATGCTAATAATCCCGAATATCAGGTTGGCAGTGGCCTCTTAATCAGCAAGATTGTTTCGGTCGCGGTGAGGTATGTAATAATTCAAGCGATGGTGAATGACCAAACTTCTTTAAAATCGTAGTTGACTAATATATCTTTAATTTATTCAGGCTTGCAAGGCAGCCTGCGCCGCCGCCGATGCGTCATGCCTCAATGACTGTACCACAACCTACTCTTCCAAGCACGTAGCTTTTCAATTACCTGTTTGCTTCACTCCCGTTTTCTCTGCTTTACTAACTCGCTCTTTTTCCTTTCTACAGATGTGCCACAGACCAACAACCCCCAGCATATTATAACGTGGATAACGTAGATGATATTCCCACCTATGGTCCCCCGTCTCCAAATTCCAATAGCAGTTCTAACGGCACTGCTAGTGGCGGCAGCAGCAGCGGTAACTCTTCGACCACCGGTGGTTCGAAATCCTCATCATCAACCAATTATGCCTATTCGCTTGGATCAATGTTGTCTGCTCTTGTCGTTGCTGGTGGAATGATGATACTTTAAAGATATAATATGTAGGACAGTTGTTCTGCTGTTGAATCAGCATGCACAGAAACGCTCCATGGGGGAGGTTTAATAGATATTTCGGTTTCCTTTCTTCTTTGAAACCGTTTCTTCGTTAATAGAGTGGATCCCTAGTCCTTATAAATCACTTACATTAGTGCCACTTAATCGTTTAAAATTTTATAACGTGTAACATTAGTAGATCATTAGGGATTCAGGGAACAAGCTTTAATAAAAGCTTCAGAAGAACTTTTGGTTTCTTGTTTGCCGAACAATTCAATAATCACAAATTTGAAATCATTGGCCCTCGGAAAGTTTCTGTCGTATCTTTTTGCTTGGGAATTTATGGAATTAACTTATGCTCGTTTCGATTACCATTCGCCTAATTGGTGGAACGAGTAACGAGCATAAAAAACTTTAATTAAAACGCTTGGCAACTTGAGGTTATCACTTCATTTAATTCACTGAGATATTCCCAAAGACCCTTCCTAACACTTTTGGGATGTTTAACTGCTCTACCATTCAAACACAAATAGTATTTTCAAAAGTAGTGAGTTCTTGCGTTGTGGAGATGATCATGAATGAAGATAAATCCCGCAAATTTCAATAAAGCAAGATTTTTGCATTAAAAATACGCGACGCGTTGCAATTTAACTTTCAGTGCAATACACGTTCACGAGAGATCAATATTTGATTTACGTTCACTGCTTCCATTAATAAAAAAAGTTGGTCGAGTACGAGACCACGGCCACTCTTTAGGAGATTCCTTATGAACGATGCTACGCCACACAATTCATAAAAATGTGCCCTTTTTTAGAAAAGAACATAACCTTTAATAAATCACCTTGTTTCTCAACAAATTGAATATTTTTGATCCAAATGAACCAATCGCAGCAAGACAGTCTTTCCCCATGCGTGCTTGACCGCGTCGAAGTGAAATATGACGAGTTACCTGACTTGCGTGACGAGCTGATAATCAAAGAACGAACATATCGTCAGCAATATGCCAACATGTATTATGTTAGACTTATGCAGTTGCGACAAACTGTCTTTGAAATAGCGCGGGCCAGGTGGGAAAATTCCATGGATGATGGTACGGAATTTTCTATAAAGCGAATAATGTAAACGAACATAACTAGGACTATCCTACTCCGTATAAACATATCACCAATACTTCGCGTTCAATTAGGTGACAAACCATATCATGTCGATAAAATTCTCGACGTAAAACCTGGTAGAGTATGTTATGTTATCGGAACAATCTACATGGATATGCCACTCAAGCCAAACATCCTTGAAGATGTTTCAAAGGAGGCAAGTCTATCAAATCTACACATAGGAAAAAAAATAAACAAATAAAAGAAATGAATAACAAATTAAAAACAAACAAACAAACCCAGTACTTATATAATTGAACGTTTTAGCGAGGGTTTGTCATAACCTCACCTCGTGATAAGTATTGCAGTGAAGAAGACGTGATTAATATCGAAGATGAATCAGGGAGGATTAGGCTTGTCGGTGATATAATCAAAGAGTGGGTCTGGGTAACTGGTGAGTTTGACGATTAGCTGGTTGCTGTAACCTGTCTTAGCTGATCACTAAGACTTGCTCTGATATCTCTTTAGGTCTTGTTGTTGCTATTCTTGGGCGGGATAATTCAGTGGGAGCATTTGAAGTCATGGATGTTTGTCTTCCCGGACTGCCTCCGCAGCTGCCATCGAAACTGATGGAAACTGGTATGTTCCGGATTTCCTTTCTGACGTGTTTGATGTTAATTGGATTCAAGATTTCCTTTCATCACGCGTATAATAATCTACTTAGATGATTCTGGTCCGAGATATGTTGCACTTTTGAGTGGAATGAACCTTGACAAAGATAGTTCACCATCCCTAAAATCGCAAATGTTGATAGATTACCTAACCGGGGAGTTAGGAACCATTACGGTAAGAAACTGACAAGTCACTGCGATTAAAACGAATCAACACTATTAATCGTCATATGTTACTTGTACGCAGGATCAAACGTTTAGCTCTAAAGTATCTCGCCTCATAATTGCTGGAAACGTGCTGAAAGAGGGACAAATAATTGAAGATACAAACAGAACGGTGTGTTCGGTTGCAATGTATTCTACTTTACATGTATGCCAAACTAATTAATATCTTAATCGGGTATAGAGAAAATCTGGTAACTCTTCGGGTTATGACAACGAGCCAATACAAGAATTTGATAATATTCTAGAAACTCTCTGTTCAACCTTATCTGTTGACTTGATGCCTGGAAACAGTGATCCTGCAAATTTTACTTTACCACAACAACCTATCCAGAAAAATTTATTTCCAAAAGCATCAAAATACCCGACATTCTCTAATGTAACCAATCCTTATTGGGGCGATGTCGATGGAACTGTGTATGTATATAACTAAAATTATTAGCCTTGGTAGTATAACAGATTCCATTGTGCTGATTTTTTAATTGCTTCAAGATTCCTTGGAACTTCAGGTCAAACCATAGATGATATATACAAATACGTACATGGCCACAACAGACTCGAAATTGCGGAAAAGACATTATACTGGAGACACATTGCTCCGACCGCTCCGGATACTCTCTGTTCGTATTGTCTTGTGCCATGGCTTGGGCAATGGAAAATGGATAAAGCTCAAATTTGTTCTACAGCATAAATTTTTTAATTCTTAAACAATCATCTTTTTGTAGGGTGCTATCCGTTTATTGAACTTGACCCGTTTGTTTTAACAAGGCTGCCACATGTCTATTTCATTGGAAATCAAAAAGAATATGCAACAAGTCTAATTGAAGGTAAGCTTCATTTGTGACAATAGCAGAAGAAGTGTTGGTTAAATTACTCGCGAGTACTACGCGTTGTTTGATATCGTCAGTATTTATGTCTAATTGACCGTGCATCCTCGAATGTATGTTAGGACCAGACGGCCGAAAAACGAGGGTTATTTTGTTGCCATCATTTGCTGAAACAGGAACAATCGTGTTGGTAAATCTAAGCACACTAGAATGCCAACCGATGTCTTTCAGTAGTGACTTCCAAATCTTTGATCACATGCCCACACGTTAATATTTAATGGAATAAAATAACAATTTAATCAATGCTCTATGTTTGTTCGTCTTGTCATAATTTAAATGTTTAAATTATCAGACTATGTACGAATCCACAATAATAATAACCATGATTTTGCATAACTTCATATTTAACATAAATTAAAAATTAAAGAATAAATAAATAGGGTAAATGAAATTCGTGCGGCCGTGCATCCCTAATTATTACGTAATAAAAGTTTTAATGCAACTATTACCAGTAATATTTTATTTATTCAATTTTCGATGTTTTCACAACACATAATATTACAACATCATGACTGATGTTCATATGACAACATGAAGATTTGACGGTGGAGGAAGAGCTACTTATATATCTTTTTCGTCGCAAGAAAAACGACACGCTTCTATATAAATTATTATACTATGAAGAACAATTAATTTTAGCGTTTGTGCTGTCACATATTTTGCGACACTTGTCACAAAAGCTTGAAACACTTCACGTAACTCGGCAAAATTTTCTCTCGGAATCATTTTCGAGCAACCACAATTGCAACCTATCTCTCACCCGTTGAAACAATTTCGTGGACGTACTCGATATCGTTCTCGAGAATTGAGGCATGTTGGATGGTGCAAAAGTTAAAAAATTACCTAGGCCTGACGTGCTTAATTAACGCATAACGCACTTCACAGGCGGCTTCCAGTTCGACGAAATTTTGCGACAAACCCTCTTCCACTTCTGTCCGCTTTGCTTCTGTTACGCAGAGGTAGTCTTGCCGACCCTCGCTGCCAATATGGTAAATTATACAGTCGACCCGTCCTTTACCGCTCGAACCTAGTAGGTTATACCGAAGCCTGACATTGACATTGCTTTTGCAACGCCGTGCGAAACTGATGATATAAATTCAGAACGTTTTAACTCGTTCCTGTTGAGTAATGGCCCTAACGTCCGCAATTTCAACTCAAGGAAATCGAATAACGGAGTTCAGCAACTTCATCAAATAAAGTAGTGAAAGAATACAAACTTAATGTCTGCAAGTGTGTGGTCAAGAGCCTTTACTGTTTGTTTATCACTGATCTCTGCGTTGTCTTATTATAATATTAATGATGATTTACCGTAATGTCTAAGGATATGACATTTTATGCACGCCCGTAGTTTAAATCCAAAATTCTTACTTGGGTGAAACTGAGGCAGTTCGTCAACCATATTAATCGATAAGTTGTTATACGAAAATTCCCGCTGTGCTATAAAAAAATCATGTGGCATTTTTGAGAAAAACACGTTAAATTTCTTTTGGGTGTCGCTTTCACGTTGACACGAAATTCTCAGGTCTTCCGCCAAAAAATTAAAATTCAATAGAAAGCTTGTAAGAAACATTGTTTTTAACAAATCAAACAATCTGAAAGGCATGCATAATTGGGAATATGCATTTTCAGTTATACAAGTGCAATCCCGCAACGCATTATGCCTAAGATATTAATATCACGCGCGAATAATTTGTGAGATAGACAACTGGCCCTCGCTTATTGGGCGATAGATGACGGGTCACGCGGCCAAAGTTTGCTCCTTCACCGTTTTAGCTGCAACAAATCTAATCTGGAAAAAATACGGTGTGAATCTTCGTTGTGACGGCGTTTCAAACTCTTTGTTACTTCAAAATGGGCCAAATCCCCCCAGACCCCCCATTTTCCCAAATGGACTTTTTAAAGGAGAAAATGCATTTACATGATATCACTTTGAACTCAAACTTTTTTATGCCTTGCTCGTTTGTTTCAAGGCAGTGTACAGCCAGGTTAAGCTTGCCTGGTCCTTGACTTCAAAATGAATCCTTTTTTTGGCAAAATGCTTATAAATTCATGAAATGCGTCTATGACTTTTTTTTGAATTGTGGCCATGACATCTTGCCGCTTGTCAGAAACAATAATGTGCTCTTGTTGTTACTTATGAATGCAAAAAAAAAAAAAAAAAAAAAAAAAAAAAAAAAAAGAAGAAGAAGAAGGAAAGTGATGTTTCAGTACAGCACAAGCATGTGGGAAACGTCAAAGGAGCATAGGATAATCAAGGGCACAACCACTACAAATGATAATGACCAAGAATTGAATGGCAATGAAAATAAAGCAGGAAACACAACACAAGAATAAGAAAGTATTCTGTATGATTGGCAAATATAACAATTCAAGTTTATAAACGAAGAACATGCAGTATTACTAAGTCTACTCTACCCTATGTACACACTACTCTGCCCCAATGCTCGGGCCACAAAGTCGTTACCTGGTTGAGTAGGTGCAGTAAGTCTGTTTTGTAACAGTACTACCTGGTCTCCTTTTCCTCTCTTTGTCCTCAAGACTCGTCCACAGCTGTTGCTGCGCCGCAGTTCAACGCACCCTCCGCGTCTTTCATTTGTAAGTACAGAAAGATGTGCTGCGCGATTGGTGTGATCTAATATACTGACACTGATCAGTGGCTTAATCAATGACGTATTATTAGAAACTTTGCTATTGTTTCTATTGTATGCAGGATTAGGATGTGACCAATGATAATTGACAAATTAACAATGGCAGAAGATTTTTCTGGATCACGTGTCTTTCTTTTCTTCGAATTTCGTCCAATGCAATTTTGCCTTTGTACTTAAATGCCGCATACAAATGCCTTTCCATGACCATCAAAAGGCACAAACAAGGTCAAACTTTAAATTACGTAGGAGTTTATTTGCCGATTCAGTATTTTCTCATGGCCAACTTTATGTTGCTTGTTCTAGGACTACAAGCTTTAAGATTCTAATGACAGGCCGGAACATTGTATATTAATATCCAGAGATGTTTACATTATATGTTTTATATAATATAGGTTGGTCTTGGACAAGTAATATCTTTGAATTCATCTCTAACAAGTGGGCGAATATTATGATAAAGATATTCTTGCCTTTTGTAATCCAAAGGAGGAGGTATTAGGACTAGGATGGAAAAGGATTTAATTTCTTTGATAATTTCAGAAACACTTGCTTTTCTGGTTTTCAACAAATTAAATTCTGTATAAGCACCATTAGCAACCAGCTGAGCTTTGACAACTCCAGGATGAGCTGCTTCAAACATAAAATGTTGATGTTTTTGTAAACCATTTAATTTTTTAAAGAAAATCCCCAATACGAATTCAGATCTAAGTACTGAAAGCCTTTCCGTTGTCATAACGTTGGGCCTTGTTTAATCCCGCTGTACTTGATTTTTTCACAACATGTTGCACGCAATCTACGGTTGTTTTTCGATAAAGTTTCTTGATCAATCCAAAACTACCATCACACTTGAATTTAGTATGTCCCGGTATCATAAAATTTAATTCGATACTTTCATAATAACCGCAAATTACCAAATACAGGTAAAATCAAATAGTAACGTTATTCTTATTCTGACCACCCACATTATCACAAGTAATTTTTAAATGTTTTTCGCCTTTATTCAATTTCTTTATTCCATCGAATACCATGCTTAGCGTACCATTGGGGCCTTTCCCTATAATTTCACCTTCATCGAGAACGTAATTAATTTGTTCGCGGACTGCTTCATTTTGGATACCAAATAAATGTACTTTAGGCGGACTAAGGTAATAAATCTTACTTACCTGTTGATCGGAATGGGGAGCGTGAACGCTTTGCACTCAATCGTAACTGTAATGAGCAGTAGCATCAACGCTACAATAATCAGTTTTACCTCTCGTTTTAGAATGCTCATTTACCAGTTTCCTCTGTTGCTCTGCTAATTTCGTATTTTTGTTGTAATAATTTCTTTCTAATTTAGCCTTAATTAAATTTTCTTTGTCTTTTTTTAATAAATCTTTTGCTTCTTCTTCCATACGAGCATTATACTGTAAGCCGTTCCGAAAATGTTGGCACGTGTCACATAAATCCGTTTTTGGACTCATGATTTGAATATACGGCGTTAGTTGGTGCCATAACTTGCGGAACGCGTCATATTTTAACAATTTCAACGTACTATCGTTTTCGAGACCTGCAATAAAATCGCGATAAATCGACTTATAACTCAATTTCAGCTGGCAAAAGTGTAGCGATTGAGTAATTCTGTTGACGTTTCTACCGGGACATGGCAATCCATGAATTTCTGCATAATTCTCGAGGAAATTCTTCACAACGGTAGCGACTGTTATATCAATGGTTATTTTGGTCTTTCATCGCGGCACTTTTTTACATTACCATGAACACGTGGTGTTATACCATTCGTCGCCAAGTGATTTCTGACGTTTTCCAAATGAGCGCGACCAATTCCTAACATGTTTTCTGACAAAGTGGCGTATTGCGATCTCAATAGTAAAATGTTCTCTCATTAGTACGCGTTTTCTTTTTAAGGCATCGGCTGGCAGTTATTTCTCCACCATTTATTGCTTTCAGTTGGCTATTAAAATTATGTCTTGCTCAGATCTAGAGAGAACTTGAAATGCCTCACGTAACTCGGCAAAATTTTCTCTCGGAATCTTTTTTGAACAACCACAATTGCAACCCATCTCCAGGAAACGTATTGCTTTTTCGTATTCAGTCGAACCATTATAATTATAATTTTCCATATACGGGTAATTCTATATAATAATTTTAACGGTAAATCCATTAAACCTGTTTGACTGGTTATAGTTAGATTTCTGGTCGAAAATAGAAAGCTTATTTTGGAATAAAATTAGAAACAGTAATAACAGTAAATCAAGTTTCATGATTATGGACAAAATTTGCCAGAACATATTATCCTTTATTGCTGACCGTGTAGTATTTTACATGTGATTGATGCAAGTTCTATTTTATTTGCATTAGTATGCAGATTTATAAGACGAAATTTGAGTAAGCAAAATTTACTTCTAAAGCAATGATAACAGGAATTCTATTGACTGTGAGGTCAGTTAGAACTGCTTCTCACCAGGCCTGTTGTTCAATTCGACGACGTCGTATACCGCGTTTAGACTCAAGGCTATGATTAGGGCTTCCTTGCGATGTTTCTGGAAGGTGTTTTCTTGGCTGAGAACACCAAGTTTCCGCAGTCTCTAGGAATAAATCATGCCAATATTCGTAGTCCGGTGTCACCGTGATGTCAAGATCGTAGACATAATCAAAAAAGTCTAGAAATAGTTGTGAAAGCTTATCAAACAGATAAGTGGGCTTTCTTTCTTTCTGATAAATAGCCTGGTACGGATCCTCGGCAATGCGCCAATACGCCTTGTTCTGGTTGTACATAAATGCGATTGTATAAGAAAGCGCCTCCAAGCCATCTCCGGCTCCAAGATATTTGCCTCTATTATGCGAAGCGAATATGATATTGCCTTCAGGCCAACCACTAGGGATACTTTCTCTCTTATTGGATCGTGGAACAGCTAAGCCGAAATCGATTAACCGATATTTACCTACCAACCATGCTAGTAACAATATAATGGATGTAATGAACGAAGGTCCTCGTATAGCAACTTTAGAATGTCCTTGACTTGGTGCTTATTACTATTTATATTTTCAAAAGCAATCGCATGCTATAATAAAGATATTAAACTTATGCTTACAAAATTGAAATTTGTTGTGTAATTTTGACTTTGTGTCAAGTAGCGAAACATGATCAACGCGCAACGAATGCGTTCGAGAGTCCTTATCAGTAAAGAACGATCTTTCGTTGACAGGTCACTTGATCAGTGGAGGCGTTAGTGGGAAGTTTTTACGTTAAATTTATTTCCTTACGTTTCTGCTTCTTTCTTGGTTCATCATTAGCTGGGGTTAATGCTCGCTTATTTTTCGTTCTTCTTGGTAAATTTCATAAGTGATTTTTTCTTGATCTAGATATTCCTGGAGAGTTTGGGTATCATTGATTTTAAAGACATAAGGCGCAATTTTTTCGCCTTGCTCTTTTTTTAGAATACTTCTAATGGTGCTGTAATTTTTGGGTTCCATAGTGGATTTAATGTAAATTAGTTTCATATTAATATTTTTATATAGAGGTAATCCTATATTAATCCTGTTATGGTTTATATTCATCACATTCTGGTATGACAAAGTGAACATTAAAATTAACAAGTCCATAAGCTATGAATGAGTACCATTATTACTTTTCAAAACGTCATCAGTCATACTGGTCAATTTTACAACCACATCATAATCAGCCTCTCATTTATGTCACATAATAAAATGTTCACTTTGTCTGGTTTTGCTGCAGCATGCCCCATATACACTCCCGTCTCAAAAGTCACCGACCACCCCCTACGTTTGTGATTTAATGAGAATACTGGCATAACGAGCAATGCAATTACCATAGTAAAATTACGAATTTACCTAGAGCCGACTTCTATTCAACAAAAAACGTTAAAATTAGGGTATGCGAATTGAATATTTAAAAAATCGTTAAAAATCAATCCGCATATAATTTTACATACATTCAAAAGCGCAAAAAAACTGCTATTAAATGCAGGTAAGTTTGGTCAAATATCTTGTTTTGTTGTTGAGAAATCGTATTTTGAATTTAGGGTATTATTCGGTAAGTCACCGACCACCCCATAAATTTGCAATTAAATGCAAATATTGACGCAACGAGTAATGCAACTACCGCATGATTAGTACTGTACTTAGCGCATCTACACCCCCTGCCAAAAGTATAAATACGATACAAGATTTTACTAGTAAAACATATGAAAAATCGAAAATTTCAAGTCGCTGGTTCTCTGTATTATTTTAAACAAGTACCAATAAAATCTATATTATTGTAAAGCTAAATGATTGTAGTTTTAATTGAGAGATATAAGTAATTTTAAAATATTACCGTTGCAGTGCGAGGAGGAGACAAAGGCTTCACTTGCTTAATTAATATCAAATGATCGGCGTAAATCGTATTTATACTTTTGGCGGGGGTATATATGACAATCGTTAATATTTTAAAATTGCTGATATCTTTCAATTAAAACTACTGTTGTATATAATTTGCGTCGCTATATAATTTGCGTTACATAACTATATACAGTCCTACCTCGTTTATATCCCCACTTTGGGACGGAGCTTTTTCGGGGATATATTCGAGGTGGGGATACAACTG